CACAGGAAATACCGAAATCTTGTCAGTGCCAATAATTAAAAATTGAAGATCTTGTACTTAATTTTCACATCTTGGTACAGATTATAAGTGTGCATTTGGAGTGCTGAATTTAATATTCTCCCCATCAGTGCAGAGAAAATCTAGAAGGAGATTTCAGCCTCTAACAGAAATGAAGGGATAAGACAGTCTGTCACTGTTTGCAGAGAAGGAAAACAGCACAGGAGAGCTGGCTGCTGCCTTCCTACTGAATCTATCCAGCTCTACCTGCTGCCTGCTGGCAGGAGTTTGGTGGAGGAGCTGCAGCCCACAAATGCAGAGCCCTGCACTGCCTGGAGGCCTCTTCTCTTTCTCCTTTTTACTCTGGACCTTTACCCACTGTTGTACAATGGCACCTTGTTATCAAATCTCCAGCAAATACTTTGGCAGGGAAGAGGGTTTTCCACTCTGTCACATCTGCTCTGGTATCTCAGAGCAGATAGGCACTTGTTTCTGCCAGTTTCCAACAAGTTCTTATATAAACCAAAGAGTTTTAAAAACCTCTAAGCTTTCCCATTTGGCATTTCAGTTAAACTTGGTTCACCTTTCCTTCTGTCTTGCCATGTCTCTCCTTACATTGTCTTGCTTGTTAGGGGAGGTAGAATAGAAAGTTCACTACTCCAGAGAAAAAGATACAAGCACTGCACCAGAGGAAAAGTTGACATGAGGACACAAATGCCAACAAGGGTGACTTTGGAGCAGAGTTCAGCAAGACCAGAGCTGGCTGTGGGGTTCTGCATGTGCTGCCTCCTGCTGCCTTCCACCCCTCCTGCTTGTCTAACAACATCTTCCTCCCTGCAGAAGCCATGATTTCAGTGAACTCTGTTTTGAGAAGAAAAGTTGATTTTTTTTTCTGATCACTCCAGTCATTTGTCAGCTCCTAGCAGAGACCTCCCCAAACACAGCACTGCCAGCAGCAGGATCTGACCCACTTTTCAGCTCCTGTTTCAGAAAAGAGATGGATTGGAGCATTTATCTCAGCATGGCTTCTTCAATCAGAAAGGCAGGCTGGATTTCTCTTGTTACTGAGACCTTATTATTTACTTGGCTTTCTGCCCTGCTCTTGGCCACATCTATTGCCTGAACAAGGGAGGTAAAGCTGAAATTCTGTTCTTTGTGCTGCTACCCAGCGACCATCTGAGGAACTGAGCTCTGCAGCACAGCAGGAGCCTGGTTTTCCACTGACACCTTCATGGGCACAGCCCAGCTCGTTCCTTGGAGCTCATCTGTGAGGCCAAGAGCCAGGGTAGGGGCAATTGGCATCCCACAGCATCACTGGGGCAGGGACTGACAGCCCTGGGGACAGTGGGCCATGGCAGGGTTGTTATGGACTATTGGTGCCTTCCAGGACATGACAAACATTTCCAGTAGTGTATGAAGGTTCCTGATTTTAAGCCATATAAACCCAAAGTATTTTATATTTGACAAAGGAGTGGCAGGGAGAGGAATGAATGCAGGCAGGACAGCAATGCAGTTAGTGACAGCTCATTAGGAAATTATTAACTCCCCAACTCCTTAGCAGATTAGTGAGGTGGGGGGCAGCAGGGATGCCCTCGGGGCTCATTTGGCAAAGGATGACTCAGAATACAGGAAAAGTCAGGCTGAGGACAGCAGGGGATGACGCTGGAGCTGGTGTCAGCAGGAGCTGGGGGTCTGCATCTGCCCTGCCCACACCAGCATCACCAGCAGACCCCCCCCCACTCCAGCTGGAGTTATCAGGGGAACGCTGTCATTCTAAACATTTCTAAACCTCCTTGCCGTGCACTATTCCCTGACAGTGTCATGACTTTGTCACACCTGGAGGACCAGGGCAGGAACCTGTCATGAACTTCTCCTGCTCCAGAAAGGTTCAGTTCAAGATGTGGCAGCAGCTCTCGAGGGCTCTGCATGGGGCACTGCAGAAAATCTCATGGCCCTCATTCACCTGGTTTTCACACCAAATACAACCAAAGGGACAGCTGACACCAGCACATGGTGCCACAGCCCCCTGACAGGTGTGGGGCACTGGTGTGGGACCCTTTGGGGCTGACAGCAGTGACCACCCCCTCCTGCAGGCACAGGCATCCTCCTGTCTCTTGGCTGCAATGCCAGAACACCCCTGCACTATTCCCAGCCTTGTGATCATCAGCATTTGTGCCACTGGCAGAACTTAAAAAGGCAAATGGATGGAAAAATCCCAGGGTGACCAGACCATAGTGCAGGGGATGCTTCATCCAGGTGCCAGAGAGACTGGACACATATTTACTCTGGATTATTCCAATGTTTTAGCTGACCTTGAGGGCAGGTTGCTACTTACTGCCACTTGTCTGATGCTAGAAAATTACCTGTAGCAGACTTCTAGTTTTTTTTAAACACCAAATAAAACAAAAATGTACTTACAGCAGAGATCCCCTGTTTTACCATCTTTGACATATTTTTTTCCTGTCCACAGTCCCTCTTGCTGTTTATAGTTCTTCCTCATGACTGAGTTTTCCTTCCTCTTTGTTTTCCCCCCCAGCTACTTTTTTACTGCTGGGGATTTCTCAGAAATGTTATGCTGCCAGAATTCCCTTTTATTCTTAGAAACTGGAGCACAAGGGCAATTGCTTGGAAGCAAAATGACATCTGTGAAGAATGACTTTGGACATTGAATAAAATAGAAGAGAGGCAAATTGGAGGACAGAAGGTCGGAATTCCTGCAGGGCACTTAGTTTAAGGACATTTAGCATATAAATGAGATTATTTTGGCAAAAAGTGTCCTGGTGTAGAATATGTGACTGAGCAGTAGATGCTGCTGAAGAGCAACTACTCAAAAACATTGGCTTCTCCTGGTTAAAAAAATTGTGCAACCCTCATCATTGATGGAGATCTTATCCTTCCAACAGCCTTGAGGCATAAACCATGGCTTAATGCTGTTTTATAGGCACAGACTGAAATAGAAACAGATTTCTTGGGAAAACTTACAGAGGCAGGAAATTAAAAAAAGGATGTAGCTCAGTGATGTCCCTACTGATGAACATCACAAACATCCGACATTTTAAAAGAAGATTAGCACTACTGATAGCCATGATCTTAATGCTTCAATTTCATCCTCCACTGCTGGGTTATAAACAAAACAAATTCTCAGGCACAGATCGACTCAGGCATCCCAGGATGAAAAACTGAATATGGCCAGACACTTCCTGTGGCAAGTCCAGTCCTGCTGGGTGCCCCCCAAAGTGCTGGTCCTGCTGTAAGCTGGAGCCACCAAGGAGCTGTCAGCAGCAAGCAAAGGGCTCCTGGTCACTGAGGGTCCTCGTACTGAAGGCATGGTTTCATTTAAAGTGATTTTCCTGAACGAAAGATTTGTATCAACCTTGTCTGGTTTCTCCACTTCTTTAAGTCATGCAATAAATTAGAAGGTGATAAGAGGCCAAAAGGAACATCCAAAATTCCAGTGGCATTTCTAGGAACTGGCATGCCCCAAGTTCCTCACTGGCCATCCTGCAGGAGGGAAGTGGCTGGCTGTGGTGAGGCATGTACATGGAAGAAGTGTCATCCCTGGGAAACAAACCAAAAAAACTCTTAGAGCATCACAAATTACCTTGCCATCTGCACAGACCCAAAGGTAGACAGTCAGTACATGCACTTTCTAGCCTCTGCTCTGACCAAGGGAGCACCAGCAGGGAAGCACAATTATTTACAATAATTTGTAAATATTAGTGTGTCCCCTAATAGGGCTGAAATGTTGGAGGAATCCATGTGATTCAGATGATTTCCACAGTCCCTGCTGGTGCAGCTTTCCATGAGCAGCACAGATGTTGTGAGCAGGGAAGTGGGAACATCATCTGACATTCCCTCATGACAGAGCGACTGAAGGGACTCAGGTACTGCAGTTTCTGCAGGACATCGACGGTGGCTTCTCCCTTAGCATGGGACTGGCACATCAGCACCTCCCCATAGCACAGGGCATCGATGAACCCACCCTCATGCCTGTTACATGTCTGATGGAGGCTTTTCCAGGAACTTCCTGGGAGCTAAAGCAATTCCTAGTATTGAATGTGCTGCTGGAGATCACATTCATGGTAAGAGACCATGATGCAAATGTGTCTGAAACCACTTCTTGAATTTTACTGAGTGTGTGTGAGGAAGTGGCTCTCCTGAGGTCACCAGAAAATCCAGGGCAAAACACAGATTAAGCACCTGGTGTCCCCAGCTCACCACAGATCCACTCTCTCTGCAGTGTGCAGGGTATCATCACTCTCCTTTATTGCAGTTGCTCCTGTTTGAATCCCTTTGCAGAAATTCCAGCCACACTGAAGTATATCTGGCTGTTATTTAGATATCCCTATTAAATATACAGGTATTTATTTAGCTATCCCTATTAAATATATAGATATCCCACCAATCCCCCAGGCTGGAGGGGCTCTAATAAGAGAATTAAGCATTACACAGAGCTTTCTGTGGCTCACTACAGGGAGGACACTGCACAGATAACCTTTCCTGGCTGGACTCGTTCTCCTGCAGGACTTGTGCTCTCTTGATCACTTTATGAGTCCAACCCCAGTTCTCAGGATTGTTGCCCTTGGGAGGAAGTGTGGAGGTTGTGTGGTCTGGTTTGTGCTTTCTGTTCAATGGGCTTTTTATTTTCCTTAACTTCAATGACCTCACATCAATACAGAGACTTCCCTTACCATTACTTTCTCTCTCTTCCAGGACTTTTCTCCTGGGCAATTGCCATCTTCCTAGCTAGATGCAGAGTAGAAAGAGCATGATTCACGTTTGGGAATCAAGGGGAAATATTAGCAGCCACCAATGAGTGAATGCAGCATAGGAACGTGCCACAAATTAACAGCCAGGGAAACAACCTAAATCTTTATTTAGCTTTTTTTAAAGAGGGCTGTTTAGTGACACAGCTGCAAATTACTGGGAAGTTACAGGTAATCTTTGCAGGACAAGGTGGGGGCAGTGTTATGAGAAAACGAGGTGTTTTGCAGCATGTAATGTGTTTGTAAAATGTTAACACGTTTATTTATTATATGTGGGTGGACAACTTCACACATCCTACCAGAATTTACTGTACCAATGTCATTTCCATATTGTATCTCTGTAAGTGTTATGAATCAGCCAATGTGTGACATTAATTATCTGCATTTAGCATTGTGCAAACTGACATAATGATCTATTATGGAGTAACATATCTGTAACTGTTTACTGAAGTACAGAAGTAATCCCCCAGTTCTCTAAAATGTTCTGGAATTATTCTGTACATGCTATGTCTAACCAAGTCCTGGTTTTGTCCAAAAGTAACATTCTTCCATGGCTGAGAGGTGCAGCATGCAGGTTCCATGGAGGTAGCTCTTCTCCCACCACCATGGGGGATCTTCTTCACTAACTCAACTCTCTTGAGAAATGTTTCTCTATGAAGTTCTAGGAAATTGCTTCATGGCTTTGGGTTTCTTTTTGATGAAATTATTTTGATTTCAAGTTCTCACCTCCTTCGTTCATCCATGACTGGAAACACAAGGTATTTGTCTCGAAGATCAATGTCTTGTGGCCATTTCCAGGAAATGTTTGAAAAAATGATGGAAGAATGCAGGATATTTGGTCTAAGAAAAATAGAAAGGAGAACAGGTAGAAAAACTGCCTTCCATGATGAAGACTTCTCCACAGACAGTGGCAATACAAATGTTCTCTACGCCCACTGAAAACATGGCAAGGAAAAAATCATGTAATTTTCTGAAAAAATTGTCTAGAATAAATATTAAGAAAAAAATTCCTAATTTTACAGAGATATGAGTCTTGGAACAACACAGGAAAGTTTGTCCAAAGTTCAGAAGAGCTAAGGCAAACTTTGGCCAGGAAAGGCTGAGGATGACATCCTCAGTAGATGCTCTTGAAGTAGGTGATCTGTGATTTTAGGATTCAGGCCATGAGGACTGTCCTAGCAGACTGACAGAGTTACAGGGCTGGAAGAAGCCCTGTGTAGTGATAGCCTGCCATCCCATCCCCCAGGGGCTCCTCAGGCAGAAATGGATTTGCTGAGCTCAAAGCAGCAGTGCAGAGCAAAGGACTCCCACAGCAGCTTTGGAGAAGAGCTCCCAAGGAATCTGTTTTCTTCATTTTCAGCCTCTGTAGTTCCAGAACTGGGAGTTCCCTCTGCATTTATGCAGAATTCAGCACAAAAAGGCCTTTGAACACCACTGAAACAGCAAAATCAAAATGTGATCCTTTCCACCTTGAGAAACAAGCATGTCCCAAATGCTCTTATCTCAAAAGCAGAAGTGACAGGCTGTGGAAACATTCAGTCTGGAAATTAATCTTTTGAACAGGAGCTGAGTCTGAATAGATTATGTGCATATTTGTGTTTGCCTGTTTTGAGTTACACAATACTGTTTTCATCTTCAGCTGAATAAAAATTTATAATGATATTTTTTAAAGTCCAGCACATTTGTCCAATTTACTACTGAAGTAAGTTGCACCAATGCTGATTTTTAGTGAGTGTAGTTCCTTACTGTAGTAGCCAACTTGGCCTTATTCAATTGGAGGCTGGATAAATACCTCCTTTGAGCCAAATCCACCTTAATCAAAGCTTATATAAATCTCTTAATATAAGTAATCCTGTGCCTGCTAAACCTAGTAGTTATTTTGGTTGCATCTGGCAAGATAAAATTATCAGTACTCAAACCCAGTGATTCTGTTTGTTGCCACTTCACTGTATATTGACACTATTTTACAGCAATTTGTGTGTGTAACAATTCCCACATGAAGTGTCCATGTTCATACAGGGCACAGGTATGCGTTCTGCCGTGTCACACCATGGGGCTGTAAGCAACAGAGGACAGGACAAAACTCCCTTTTGGCATCCACTGGAGCACTCCTGAAGAAAGTTCCTCATCAATTTCCTTTTGGTGTGCTATCAGCTGAATATTAGTCATGTTTCTATGGTAGCAATGCAAGGAAGGCATATCCACAAATAAATATTTACTGGAAATATTCTTGTTTGGGAAAAAAATAAGCACTTGCTCTGGAAATCCTGCTGCACCATTGACATCCCTGTGGTGCTACTTGGTAGCATCCAACATTCTCTGTGAGAAACAGTGACCTCTGTTTGCACTGGGGTAAGAGAACCTGCCTTCAGGAAAATAATTTCTCTCTGTGGTTTTCCCAGCTGTCTTTACCAGGAGCCCTTTCACAGAGCAAACCAGTCCTTCTCTCTCCCAAATCCATTCATCCCTTTTTAATTTAGGGCTTATTTTGGATGTCAGTGAACCCAAAGGTGCTCCAGACACATTCCTTTTCTCCAACCAGCTCTTTCTGTCATCCCCTGGATGCATTTTTATGGCTGTATCATAAGAGGGGCATAACACAAAAGGAGTCCCCACTGAATCACTACACAACATTTTATATACCAGCCTTTCCTCCAACACTGCAGCTCCTAGCTCACCTGAGCCTTTCTGTAGCTAAGGGGCATCCAGGGAAAACATGACTTTAATCCAAATGCTGGTTGTCTGCCCACCTCTAAGTGATTAGGAATTCAGTAATAAATTATTGTAACTTGGTGTAAAGAGGTGAGCAGAGGCACAAACCAGTATTTTCTGCTGAAATGAATAGTATACACAGCTCAAAGGTCATGTAAATTATCTGACCCTCATTTTCTGCCATGTAACAGAAATACATGCCAACTTGAAATATAAGACAAACACATGCCATTCATGCTACAAAATAAGTTATTAGGACATAAAACGAAATGCACATTCTCCATTCTTTGCACTTCAGCAACAGAAGATGTCTGGCAGCTCAAGATGATTATCTCTATACACCATATATCACCTTCTCCTTCCTGATCTTTCTCTTGAGTTTTGGCACTTACTGAATCATTGAGGTCTTTTTTTTCAGGAACATGAGCAACCTTTAGCATGGAAGATGTCTGAATGTGGAATCCTACATACAGTAAGTTTCACCTTAAAAAAGGAAAAAAAAAAAGGGCATTCTTATAGCTTTTTATATCTGATCAACATTTGTGAAACTATCTGACTTGTGTTTGAACTAGCTAAATAAAAATTCCCCATTAAGAGAGATGAGTATTTTTTTTCCTTGCTGAGACTGACTTTCCTTTCTTTAGATGGCAATAGCATCTCATGACCTCAACCTTCTCAGCAGAATTCAAATATGAATGTGTTCGGATATGGGTCATGAACCTGAATACTGAAATATGAGTTCAGAAACACATCGGATACCACAGTTGGGTTAAAGAATATCTTAGAAATGTCCCATGTTCTTCAAAAAACACAGTCTCACACAAGATGTGTAGTGCTTGATAAGAAATAGGACATAACAATAGTCCAGGGCTCTGCCCTCAATACCCCAAACCACTATAAGCAACCACACATCCACTGGAAGTAATGGTTTATTTGCCAAAACTTGAAATTTATATGCATTAGGGAAAAATAATCCCAAATAACTCTAGCTTATGATTGCCCAGTAACACCTCTGGGTGTTGCTTAAACTTTCTTCAAACTCTGCATTCCCCCATAGCTCAGGAATATGAGACACCACATCAGAATGCTGAGGAGATATTTGGCACTGGAGTTATTCATGCCAAACTATACCAGAATAAACTGGTTTGAATTGAGCCTCTTGAAATGCAAAAAAAAAGGAAATTGCTTTCTCATTTGGCTCGATACATTTGAGTCAAGGTTAGTCAAGCTCACCTCCTTTCTCGTGGACCTGCTGATGAAGAAGTAAGCCTCCTCCACACCCTGGGGCTGCAGATCATTCACAGCCACCACATGGTCCCCGTGGTTAAACAAGCACCCCAGTCTGCAAGGACCATTCCACTGTGAAACACTGTGGAGGCATAATAAAGGAAATATACAGGATATCCAGTGACTGCAGTGGCTGGACAGGATTGCATTGACGGGCTGCCCTCTGGAAATGACACCTGTGTTCAGTGACTTTGTAACTATTTGATGTGGTTCTGGTTGAAACCATCATTAATTATTACACAGCATGCTGGATTCTAGTAGAGAATGTAAATGTAGAGACATTTACAACAGCATTTGAAATACAGACTCAAGGACACAAAGAATCTGCCAATCTGAAGTGTCAACAAGCATTGTCCCTGCTCTGCTCTGCCCTGCCAAAACTGCATATGGGTGTCTATATCTGAACACTTCCGTGCCTGCCACTTATTCCCATCTCACAGGTATTGTCATAAGATATCCAGACTTACCATATTCGTCCTGCTGCTTCAGTAAGTTTTAGGTAACTGTTAATATCAGCCAGGGGTACGAAAATATCCAATTTCTGCAGCTGCATCTCATCTGTAACTTGACTGTGAGAGAAAAACATCAGAGACCACAGAATCACAGAACAGCTCAAATTGGAAGGGACGCGTGGATTATTGAGTCCAACTCCCTGCTCCTTGCAGACTCCCTAAAACTAAATGTTATGGCTAAGAGCATCATCCAAGTGCCCCTGGAATGCTGACAGGCTTGGCAAGATGAAACTACTGAACATGTCTGTCTTCTCTGCAACCAGCTGGAGAAGACACTTACCTGAGCAGTATAGACAAGTGAACCACTGAGAGGGGTAATGAGTTTTTCCTTCTCTGGAGGGTTGGCTGCAGGCTGGTGCTGCTTTCTGGGAATTTTGTGTCTTTGTCTGCTTCCAAGTCTCTTGGACATGCACTGTTGTTCTGGCATTTGGGAGGACATGGGAGTCCATCATGTCTGCACGTGAGCTGGCATCTCTCATCCAGCAGCTTACTAAAGAGGAATGATGATAAAAAAAATTGAGGGGTTTGACAATTCCAGGCAGTTTTGCTGTGTTTGAAGATGGATCAAGCAGCCCTCAATAAAGCAAAGAATAACAAGTTCTTGTAGAATATCCAGTGGACAAAATAAAATCTAAGTAAAATAAACAGCCCTTCTAAAAATGGACCATAAATCTCAAAATAAACGTTTTTAGTATGCAAAAACTATATATTAAGCCTGGAAACATTTCAGCTCACAGCATGCCTTGACAAAGAAAGTGAGTACAGATTGTTGGCCTTGGCTGTACTGGGTTCTGCAGGGATGTAAAGCTATCCCTTGGGAGATGTGAAAACTCAGAACTACTTGAACTCATTTTAGTTTTATTTTATAAGATTAATATTACTTGGAGCTGACTCCCCATTGTGCCCCAAAAAAGACTGGGGTTAGTAGCAAAAACTGCTCTTGGTATATTTTACTCAGATGGCATAACCTTGTGAGGATTTTATAGTAATCCCCTCTGGAGGGTCCCAAAGACACAGATAAGCTTGAATTAATCTGTTGGGACTGACTGGTTACTGGGTCTGCCTTTCCACTTGCCTCCCTCCCTGTGGCCTAAGATCTGACTGTCCTCAGGTGTCAGGCCACTGCTAACAGCTGGCTCAGGAGGAGCTTTATCCTGCAGACACAATTCTCTTCAGCATTCAGTGCTATCTTGTGCCTCTACAACTGTGACACAAAGTTCAGGTCTATCTTTGTGATGTGGCAAACACTCTATCTTCAAAATACACAGCAACAGAGCTGTTCTTTGGTCGGCAAAATGAAAGGCAGGACGTGTCCTAACTCACATAACTTCTTAATGGAAAATTTGGGAACTAATGCCCCATCTCTACCTCTCTCTTTTAACCTATAGATAATGCTGCCTACTTTGGAGAGCACCTGTCTAAAAGATTGTTTGGCTGCAGTGACTCAGTAAAGTGGTGAGCTGTTGTGTCATGAAAAAACAGAAAAAGTATGAGTCAACAAAAGGTGCTGCATTGTATAGTCAGAGCCTGTGTGAGTGCAGAAGTCTGCAGTGTGAGCTTAAATTTCATGTTGGTGAGTTTGAATTTGACTCCAGTGTTCCCCTGAGTGCTGAACTTTGTGAAGTAAGACCCAACATTCAAACAAGATGCAGCCTCTAGATCTTGTTATGCAAACACCAGAGATGTCAGCTCTATCTCTATTTCTGTCACTTTTAATTTCCAAAGCCTTAATGAAGTTGTTACTTACAGTGATTTCATTGACATGTAAATGTTCTCCTTTACTGAGTTGTTCTGCACTGGCATCTCTTGCACAGGGACATCAGACTCAGCTGTAGGGTCAGGCTTTGAAACTTCAGTAGTGCACTGTCAGAAACACATAGCAATTTAAGGTATTAATGTCATTGCCTTGCCTACAGAAGAAACCTCCATTCATTTCCTTATTTTGTTCAGTGCTGATGCTGTTTAAACATAACGGCTAATATAGCCTGAGTTTCCTTAAATCAGTCAATTCCCAGAAACTGGGAGCTAGAAAAGTGCTTGAAACTTACAAGTTAATGCTGGAATTATTGCACTGCCAGACTGGGACATAACCAGCTATATTCTGAAGTACTACCTCCCCCAAAAAAGTTGTCGTTTAATTTAAGCAGGCTGAAAAAGGAGACTTGCTCTTTGGGTGTGCTTGACTTAGAGCACTTAGATTATATCACCACATTGTCATTGTTAATGTCCTTTAGTCAGATGTACAGTCTGTGACTTCTGCAGAAAACTGACTACTTATCTTCTCCTGACCACTAATTGCATGGGAAGCCTAGAGAAATTAGCCTCCCAAATTGGGTGTCAAAATTTGGATAAAATTAACAGCATGATTTCCCCTGCTGCCTTGTCTCATAGTGAAATGCAGATACCAAAATGTACCACAGTGTTTTAAAAGTACTGCTTTTATGCAGCTTACTGGTCCTTCCAACAGAATTACACTTCAAAATATATAAAACTAATGTACTGTTACATTCTCTAAATGAAGTTTTCACTTTCAGAAAAAAACCCAACCCTACCTCATTATATAATAGGCAAAAGTAATTTGCAATGAAACAGTCAATTTGGAGAATTTCAACAAAATCAGCAATGCTTTTGTCAAAATGCCACTTTGCACCAGGAAGATCCTTTGAACGAGTCTAGCATATTTTCTCTTGTATAAAGGAAAGCTCTAATACCTATTGCTTTATCTATATATTCCTTTTGCAAGGTACAAGTGGTTCCTCCTATCCAGTTTCTCTTTGGCTCATTAAATGTCTCCTGTGTCTTGGAGCTATTAACAGACCAGCAGAACCCACAGCTGATAAACTACCTGTGCCAAAACATTGCTGGGAGTTTGGTAATAATCTTCTTCGTCCTTTTTGGTGTTTTCCTCTGGATCTGACAACAGCAGATCTTCCTCACTTCTTCCCAGAATGTTATCCTGCTGAAAGAATGGGTTTGTATTTAGCAGGCTCAGTTTTACAGATGAATGTGCATTTTTCCTTTTTGTGGAGAAGTAACAGAATCACCAAATATTCACAGAAAACATGGTAAGATACATTTCTCCTTGAAGTGAGACATGCTCAGAGCCAACCTATTTTAGAAACAAGGTTTCTGTTTCTGTGCTTCTGCCTGTATATTTGAAATTCAATGCACACAGAAAAAAACCAGCCACAGCTATTAGTATTTCTCAGAGATGGATTACTGGTAACCAGGCTGTTGCAATTGATTTCATGATCATAGCCTGTTATTTTGTTTAAAAATCAAGTGTTTTAAACACTTTGTGTATGAATCTGCATGAATTTAGAGTCACTTGTGAGGAAAAGATTTTCTTTTTGCAATCAGTTCTGAAATCCTTACATTAGGAAGAAAATCTAGGGGTGAATTGGGATATATTTGTCCTTATAAATAGCTTTTAACTGCTATCAAATAAAGCATGAATTTGTGATTTTCTTGACTAATGAGGAACTTATTATCTCATACTTCTCTGTGAACAAAAAAACAGTGGAAGACTGGAGCTCTGACATAGAATCCTTTGTGTCCTATGTGATATCTGCCTTCATAAATACCTGAAGCATTAAGTTTGAGGCAATTTGGTAAACCAAGGAGAAATTAATCCCTCCACCAAGTTTTCCTTTTTAAGTCACAAAGATAAATTATTTATTTTTGTCTCCTTGTTGAGTTCACTCTAGTGAAGAGTATGGTAATTAGGATTTAGTTGCCTCCCAGTTCAATTCTCTGAGCCATGTTTGTGATGCAACTGTTTTTTATCTCTACAACTACATTCTTGATTTCCATGGTGATCATTTGAATAATTGCTAAATATGCCATGAATATATTACTGTTTTCAAGGTAAAGTAAATTAAACTAATGACTTTCTTAGATATTACATGAAGAAACTGGCAATGAATATTAATTAAGGATAATTATTGTTTTTTTTTTTCCTTCTTGGTATAGATGGCATTAAGATCAACGCATGCCATGGGAGTCAGGACAAACTTCAAGTGTCTGTTGAATCATAATATGGATTTACACTGGAGAGAAAGTAGACTATGGAGAAAATTTGCTGTAGCAAAAGATAGAAATGACACCTGAAGAACAACTGAGTCATTGATACCTACAAGCTCCTTAAGGAAAATTATATGTTGCCTTTAGAGAGAGGAATTCCTCTTTCAAAAAAGCAAGTGTGAAACAGATCCCAAGGGTGCCCTGTGGACGGCAATACAGTAATGCTCAGTATAGGGTGATGCAAGGCAGGGCTCCTAATTTTGATGTATTTCAGACGTTGAAATTTTCAGATGTTGTTTGTCAAAATAGCTGATACTGAATTGCTGAGTCAGATGAGGTTTGTTAGCTCCAAAGGGTGGGTTGGAAAGGAGCCACGTCCCCAGATCCCTCCAGGGTCCCTGCCAGCATAACTGGACTCACTGACATGGAGAATCCTGTTTGCATGAGTGACAGCTACTTAACAACGAGTTTTCAACGTCTGGGCCCCGATGAGGGAACCACCAATAAAAAGCAAAACACATCAGATGCTGGAAATGGGGAGTCACACTGCTAAAAGGACGTAAATACAAGGAATTAACTAGGAAGTCAGCTGTCTACATGTCACTGAGCAGAGAATACGTCCAGATACGTTAGCAGATGTTAAACTTATGAGGCAAGAGAAATATTTTTATCCAATGAACAAACATTGTTGGTTCTTGTTCTCTATACAGCAAGGCTATTTATTTTCACACATGCCAAAACAGAAACATGAGCTTTGTGCTATTCCCTCTGCTTCAGGCTAAAAAACCTAAAATCCAAATTCCTTATCTTTTAACCCTCATGGTCAGCCTGTCCTAGCCTGAACAGCTGCATACAATACCTGCCCTCTGAGGCATTGTAAGTATGAGAAGAATTAATGAATAAGACAGAAAAGGTATGCACAAGGAAGAGACACAAAGAAATTCTTGACATACACCCAGAGCAGGACTGGTTAAAATCAGACCAAGTGTTAAGTCAGTGCATTTCAGAGCTCAGACTCACAACTGAATTACTGCAACTTTATAAAGTACTGTGCATCAGCTGAGCTATGCTGACTGCCCATGGCATTGCAATGTAGTTTCAACTATTCACTTCTTTCACTAAATTTAGCTGTATTATCTCATACTTGCTGTCAGCCTATATTCAAGGATGGTGATTGCAGCATGTGATTTGCCACCCTGTTAGCTGTGACAGCAGAACAGATCCTTTGCCCGGTATCTCAGCCACTCCAGGTCATAGTTCAATGCATAAACTGTCACTAAAGATGGGTTTAAGCTGCAGAGTGGTGTGGTAGAGCCTTGGTTATGCCTTCTGTCCTCTTGACTCTGCTGCAAGAGCAGGAATCCACAGCAGAGGAAAACTGCTGCAGGCACTAGTTCAGGGAACACAGGTCAGAACACTTAGCCAGTAATACAAGATAACATTCATCTTATCTTTCCAAATCACTCCTGCTAGATATGGAAGTGAAATTGCTTGAAGATATATTAATGATGACAGAAGGTCAGTTCTAAGATGTGCCTCAATTTAACAAGCTCTTGTTCTGTAATTTAGTTACATTGACTCGATTGCTACTGGCAAAGGCTGAAGAAATAAAACCATTTAGCAACAACTGTGGCACAGCTGAGAAATGTGCAGGGAAGGACAAATGCTGATTGCACTGATTGCAGTGCAAATGCAGAGCTTTCTTCATCAAGTTTGAGAGCGCTGCCACTTTGCAGTTCCTGACAGAAACCCTGAGGCTCTGACTCCAAAACACCCAAACAAACACAGGTATTTCAAGCAGGTTTTTAGAAGATCATTTTCAGCGGTAAACAAGAAAACAGACTAAATATTTAGGAAAGTTTCATAGTGGAAACCAACTCGGTGTGCTAGGAAAGTAGGTGGATAATCTATAATCACAGATATCCAGGTGAGATAAAAGCCAATATTCACTTCTGCAGACGGAAAAAGGCAAGAGCTGTTCGATTTGTTCTGCTCACCAGGCTTGGAAAAACTCCTCTTGGTGAGTCACACTGAGCCTGATGGGGGCCAGGATCTGAATGAGGCCTGTTCCTGTCTTCTGAGGAGCCATCCTCCTGTATACAAAGGAAAAAAGTTGACACCTCATAAAGATACCCTGGAGGCGCTTGACCCACATTCATCTTCCTCTGCCGGGCCATTTGCACAGAGCTTTGTGACTACAGAAACGCAGCAATTCTTGGCTGCTATTTCACCCTGATACTTGGACTGCAGCAATACTTTCCCTTCATTCTATTTAAATATTGAGGGAAAAGTCAGTAAGGCAGAGAGGAATTGGATCTGAACTCTCCTCTAAGCTTTAGAGCCTAAAAAGAGAGAGAGAAATAAAAGCACAATCCCAAATCAGGAGGAATTTGGCTAGCAGCTGCCAAAACAACCATCACATGCCTCTGCCAAGGCATGTCAAAGTAAATCTTGGGGAGTTTACTTAATGTCCACTAACATTTGCCAGTCAGTTGAGACAACCAGTGAGTATCTCTCTCATTGCCCTTACTTACATGAACACTTGCCTCAAAAGTATTTCCCTTGTGGGGACTCTGTGGTGTTACAATCCAGATCCTACTCAGCAGAACTGACCACCCAGGTACCCACTGCAGAAACTCGGAACAACTTTTGATGGGAAAAAACAACCATGCAAAAGGAATTTCACAGTCATGCCTAAGCACAGGCTCATTATTAAGGACAGTTAATTTGTTTACCTCCTGGTAGCTTTGCCTCTCTGGAAAGCTGGTTATATCTACAGAATTCAAGGACAGTGGCAAAGAGGAGGGCCGGTTTCTGACTTCTGGATTTGGAAGATCTTGGTTCTGGAAGTAAGGGAAAAGCAGTATAAGAAAACAAGCACCTGCTGGGTGTGGGCTAAAACGTACTGACACATCTCACTAGAGGAAATTTTATTTCTAATGGCTCAGAGGCATTGTCTGCATAGCATTTTTCAGGCGGAAATTTATTTTCAGGCATAAATGTGTTCTGCTTGTATTTTGAGCTGTCTGGAAGCTGCAGGGATGTGGGTACTTAGTGCTGAGCCTAAACTGGTGGGCCTGGCTGGCTGACAAGGTGCAGGAACTTGGGCCTGAGCTTGAACTACCAGGGCTTCCAGGTGATTTATAACACCGACAGACTGATGTAAAGCAACATGTAAATATATCTGAAATACACCCACTAAGTATAACACACAAGTTTTAATTCTGATGCACCGAAGGTGAGGTTCGTTGCAGCATAATATCAATCCTCCCCTCATTTCCACATGGCTTACTCTTCAAAGAGATTTCTTCAATGTAAAATCAATCCCAGCGCAGACAGACTGTGCAACACCTGCTTGATGCATAAAGCTAGGGTACAGGATTTATATGAAAATGAATTTCTGAATAACCAAGGTCAGAGGCAACTTGCAAGGCAAAGATCAGGAAAATTCCCTTTGCACAGTTTTGTATCAAAAAAAAGAAATGCCTTTTTTTTCTAAAGTAAACTACAGTAACATGTCACCTGAGGGCAGCATCCACTTCTTTTGTCCTCCCTGCAGAGTGAAGATATCAGAGTGACCCAGTCCTCTATTTCCTGCCTGAAGTTGGAACAAGAAGAATGAAAACTTACTGACAGGTAACACACAAGGACGATCCTTTTGCCTACCTACTTCTTCATGTGGGGCTCAAAACAAAAATTCCTGAGATCAAGGGGAAAGCCCTGCACCTGCCTTTCAGGAAAGAAAGCTTGTGGGGTCATTGCCAGATGGCAAAGTCTGACTCAGAGAGCTAACAAGGCTTGGGAATGCATTTGGGCCTTCAGGTTGAGAAACATGCCATGAAAGGATGGTTGGAGCTGTTTTTCATGCTTGCAGGGTATTTAGTTGGATTAATTCTGGAATGCTTCCCACTGAGTGTGGGCTGTGAGAGCTGTGCCTCAGAGGAAGGCGTTGGGTGGCACGCTCAAGTAGCACTCAGGTATGAGATTTTCTTCTTATCAGAATTTCACACATCAGCTGCTCTTCTGCAAAAAGGCAAAGATTCCCGACACACTCGGGACTGGGAATCTGAACAGGAGATGCTGGGAACCGGCAGGACAGGAGCACTTTGACAAACATCCTCCTCCCTCACCTAACCGAGCTGAGCTTTGGCTGATCACCTCCACGGAAACAGTTTCTGCCCCTATTCAGGACTCAATTCCAGCCTGAAAAAGCAGGGGCTGCACCACCCCTGCTGCAGCAAAAGCCCCAGCCAGTACTTCTGGGATCTCTTTTCCTTCAGGAGAATTTTTGCCTTCAGTCTGCTTCCCTTGATTAACAACCTAGTTTTCAGGCCGTATTATTCCCCGTGGTTTATCCATGAGGAGCAGAACCTTTTCTAACTCCCTGGAGCTGCTCGTTCTTGTCCCCTAACCAGCACGGTGTGAAATGGCACTGCCATGCTGAGACACTGCCACTGCCATCCCCACTCCCAGCCCTGTGTCCCCACTGCTTTCACATGCTGGCTGCTGTGGCTGTGAGGCTGCAGGGAAGGTGAGCTCACCTGCCCGAACCAGCAGAAAATTAACATAGCCATGAGTAAGGGGAGGAAATGCCAAAAAAAAAAAGCTGTTTTCCATTGGATCAGGCAGCTGAATCCCCCCATCCCAGAGCTGTGCCATCAGAAGGGACGGGAGTGGCTGTGAAGGAGCAGGACCCTGCCTTGGGGCAGCAGCTTAGTGCTGCTGACATTTAAACATTAGTTTAACAGTATTGTCACATTGCTTTTGCACATCTTGCTGTGCTCACCTGCTGTCTCCAATGAGGTAGTAAGGTCTGTTTCCAGTGCTGATGGACATCACCTGCTCGGGAAGGCATTTAAACATCTTCCTCACCGTTTCCATAATTTCAGCATTACGTATGCCAACTTCAATACTTATCATTCTGTGAAGATAATCATATGAAACGTCCCATACTACTCTATACAGTTACATACAAATATACACACACGTTTTACTCTCAGCATATGATGAGATCTGCAAGGGAAAAGTTCAACATTTTTCCACAGAAAAAAGTGCTCAATAAAATAAATTTATACATTCAAAAGAGATGGTCTTTCAATGAAGAAAATCTCCAGGCAAAAATATAAAATTAACTTTTGCAAAGTACCCAGACTATGAATCCTCATTTCTGGAAAAGGGGGCTTTTGGTGTAATTCAGAATCTTGAAAAGAAACAATATTAAGAAAAATTTCTTGTGGAAGTTTTTTAACCACTTAAAACAATAGATTTGATTTGAAACTAATTGTATATTAATAGCATTTTAATGGAGGGGAAGAGGAACAGAAGTACTCTTAATGGATACTTGAAACACTTGAAGCACTACTTCCATTAACTTCCAAGAAGCCAAATTAATAAAAGTAATAACAACAGTAATTATGGTAATAATGTAACCACAGACCACTGAGCAAGCTGCAATATTTTTGAAAGCTTCACAGTGTAAATCCTTTTAATGAAAGAAGCACAACAGCAACGTGGTTAGTGACCTCCATGCCTAACAATTCCAGGAGCCTGGAGTATTAACCTCTAGATCTGACAGGAAAATATTTATATTTCCCATTTCGTTTTCTGTTTCCCTTGCACATATCTCATACCACCCGTGACATGGCAAAGGGTGCCAGTCCAAAGCCAGTGACACTCAGTTTTGCTGCAGTAGGCACCAGGAAGGACATGACCAACCCAAAGGAGCCAAGCAGAGCAATCTCCTGGCAGAATAAGAGGCAGAGTGCAACCACAATCAGCCCAAAGGTTTATGAGAGAGCCAAGAGACCTCTGCACAAACCTGCAAGGCACTTTGTGAAGCTGTAAACTGGGAAAGGGTGTGTGCCACAGCTGAGAGTGGCACAGCCTGTCGTTATTCACGTGTGAATGAATGCATAGCACTGTCCTCACAGGAGGTAAAATGTGTTCTCCTGCAGGAGCACAGCCGGGGATCATAGAGCCAAGCCAGGTATCTCCATGACAGATACATCACAACAATCACTCGCACAAAAGTAAATTACAATAAAGCAATTCAGGATTTTCACTTCTACATATTATCAGTTGCACCCCAAGCCTACCAATCCCAAGGTACTCTTTTGTGGACTTCACTGGGTTTGAATCAAGAACCCAATCCTGACCTGTTCAGCCAGGAGCAAGTGCTTGTACAATCAGTGGCCATTGAAGAGTGCTGATACATGACTTAAAATAAAAAAAGATGATGCATTTGAGCTACATACTGATCGACAGCTATGGAGCCTTTCACGTGTTGTCCTTTTAGATACTTCAGGATGTAATTCCCTGTGCTGGATTTGGACAGGACGAAAAGACGCCTTTTCCAGGAATTCTGCCAAAGAAAAAGCAATTTGTCTCTCATTAAAATTCAGGATAGCAGTGTGAGGGATTGCTGAAATATGACTAATCTGTGCTGGCATACCTGCGAGCTGAAAAGTTGAAGAGGTGGTGATTTGATGAGGAATCCGTGCTTGCAGACTCCACCTTGAGGGCAAAACGTATTTTGAATTCTCACTAATCAAAGAGAAATGAACAGCACCATTACTTTACTTGCTGACAATTAATCTCTTTAAAAAGATCTGTTTAAACTGGAAATTGTTGCTTAGAACTGGGTTTTTGTGCTTAAATGGCCATGAGACAAACACAAATCAAAGCTATAAAACATGGAGCCAGGCCCTGCTTCCCTGATGTTGCTGCTGACAACTGGCCCAAACTGCAAAGCAATGGTAGTGAAAATGTAGAGGCTCAGAAGATAACATGAGCTGCTGTCTTACTTTACTGATCTTATTTGACTTTTGGGGTCTGGTCTTATTCAGCTTCATAATTAGTGATCTGAAATGCACCCCTAAAGAAATTCACAGATGGCATTCAATCAGCTAAGGATAGATCATCTCCCAACTTTACGACTGACAAATTTTAGTACAAGAAATTTTGTACCTGCAGAATTTATTTTACTTACAAGCCATCCTGATTGTTTCTTCCACCCAGATAACCAAAAGAGCAAAAATGCTGAAGCTAATTCTTTTCAGTTTGCCTGCTTCTGAGCAGCATTTCACTGCACACACAATTGCTGTTGAGAAAATAACAAAAAATCTCACAACTGTTAATGTTCATACTGATGATAAAAATACATAAAATAGCCACAAGAACTATTAAATATATTTATAAATAATTTTATACCATATTAAATTATACCCTATATGCTATGTTTGTTATTTTACAATTTCAAAATTACAAGTAGCTAATATTATCCACTCTTACAGGCCAAAAAGATGATTTGCCTAGAAGTGATGAGAGCTGCCAATAGAACTCATTTTGGCCCTTTCTTTTGCACTAGTCACAACACCTGTAATCTGGAATACTGCATCCATGTGTGTTTCTGACACTGCTTTGCCAGTATGATCAGTCCTGTATAAAACTGGCATAACTTGGCCTAAAGAGTTTAAAATATATGTAGAAAAATATAGTTATAATGCTACAGCAATTTTAATAATGCACAAGTTTGTCGTATTAATAATTTGTTGTATTAAATTGCCTTTTCAAAAGTTTCCCTTTGCCTTACCTCAAAAATCTCATTCCCTGCAAACTCAGATATTGGCTGGAAGTTGTTTTACCTCCAGGGAGGTTGCACAGAGCCTCTTGTGCCTCCTGAAGCCTCTCCTGGGAAAACCTGAAGGATTACAAGTGCTGTTCTCTGGTTCTTTACTGAGAACCCTGGCTGCAGTGAGAGATTTAAGGGCTTTCCTCTGTTTCTGTTTCTTCAGTGATTCACTCCATGGTGCCAAAAGTAAACATGATACAGTCAGGAGTAGGGTGGTAAGGAATGAGGTGGGTTATACATGGAATTTTACCCCAAGATACAACTAAAGCTATAGACTTTCACTCCTCCTGTTCCAGGCTGTAAATGGTAATGACCCACTGCAAATTTGAGTCTATCAGAGGTTTCTGCACATTTCTGTCTGTATTTTTTTGAGGTTTTTTTTTCAGGGAAAGCTTTGCAATTTTTGCCTTTTGGGGAGAAAAATTTGTTGTACAAATGCCGTGATAAACTGTTAGAAAATATGATTCTAGAGTTTTCATCTGTTGCCTACCAGAAAAATAAAAGGACAAAAAAGCAATTTCCAAAACTAAAAATGACTGAACACAAAGTCAATAGTAGGGGCACACACCTGGGGTTGCAATGAAAGGCAATTTATTGTTCTGTTCAACGTGACTGACAGTCACCTCAACTGGCAAACCATGCAATTACTACAAAACAATGCTCCAAGAGTCTCTGGCAGGATAAAAGTCTCTTCTGGATGTCAGTAAAAGTCAAGATTTGCATGTGGGAAGACAAATACCTGCGAGATTAGCTGTGCTATCTCACTCTGCCTTTTGAGAAAAAGTTTTTAATTGTTACATTTAATTGTCAGATTTAATTGTCTCTTCAACAGAAAGCAACATTGTAAACAAGTTAGGTCTAATTCAAAAATGCCAATTCTGTGTTTATACCCCCTCAGATTTTTGTATGCCAGGCATTAAGGGATTTGATTGCTTCAAACCTTTTGAAATGCAATGAGACACTTCAGTCAAAATGCAAATAAAATGCCTCAAATCATGATGATGAAAGCTATTATAAAACATTAAAAATTTCCAAGATAAGGAAAACAAACTGTGCTAATACTTACAAGCAAAATGTCTTCATGGTGAAGAAGGGTTTAGAGAAATACACCTTCAAGTAAATCCAGATTTCCTCTATTACCTCCTGCAGCAAAACACGATGTGTCCCTGCCCTGCATTGTGACCGCCCTCTTATAGTCCCTGTACAAACACAAACACCCTGAAATACAACCCACAAGGAAATTCCTCTCTCTGCATGGGACACCAACTAATGACTGCTCTGGAAAGGGGAAATCCAGAAGATTAATATTCACTCAGAAGCCATGAAAAATATGTACATTAGAGGTAGTGACAAATGTCTCCTATACAGAAAAAAAAGCCTGGAGACAGCTTGTTTTTGTTCTGTTGGTTCAGCTTTCTGAACAGTCCCTTCATTTCCTGTTTCTAAAGCATAATATTCATCCATAGCTAGAAAATAAAGCAGCAGTAAGAACTCTAAAAGATCATAAAAGTACCATAAATTGAAATCAATTTCAGATTTAAACAGCATTTAGTTAAACATACAATGGTGAAGCAGGATTTCTTATGCTGTCTATGTCATCACAAGTTAATTTCAGAGTTAATCTTGGTTGTAAGTGAATTTTTGGGATTGTCTCCAGAAACATTCAGTGTATCAATAATGAAAGTGGATTTACTCACTGAACCATCTGGCTAATCCTGCAGATGGCAAAGGAATTGCTTTCTGATAGAAAATAGTCATAAATTTGATCAGGGAAAAGAGCTAAAACACCCTGCAGCTTTTAAATTCAGCAACCTGGCTCTGCTCAAGTGAAAGGGTCAAGTTTCCTCACTCTGAGAGGGTTTCCTCAGGCTCAAGGGCTGGCACAGCTCTCAGCTATGTCACTATCACCACTCAGAGGTGGAGACTGCTGGACCACAATTGTCTTTTGAAATAGTATTTATTTTTTCTGGACATGATCTAAATTAATGCTCATCTAGCAGAGATCCTGGTCCTGGTCTTTCACTTCTACTCTCAGTTAATCTTTCCATGTTACTTTCCTCTCTGACAGTGTATTCAGGTATTTTAATGCTCATCTTTCTACATCTCAGATATTAGAACTGGCCTGAAGGATAGTTCTGGAGACAGGGGAATATTATTCACAGAAATTTAAAAACAGGCTAAACCTCAAGCAAATAAACACTAATGAATTATAAAAACATGAAAGAGGTTCCAGAGAAGTAATAAATACTGAAATGTTGGCTGGCCATGGTAAACCAGGAATATTCTTAATGCCAGAAAATAGCTTAAGATGGAGATATTTGGCAGAAACAACAGGGAGAACACTTTCACATGCACTGCTGGAGCACTGTACAATTTACTGCATAAAGGGCAAAATTAAGCACTGGTAGAAGACAATATTTCCAATAAAATACTTCCATTAACTTTGGTTTACTCCAAGAGAGGATGTGGCCTGTCCAACACAAGTCAACCAATGTCAAATTACTTTTCTAATCTACCCTTCCACTGACACTGTAAACCTCCTCCTGAAAAGATGCCAGAGACCACCTCCATTCTTTAATGAAAAAGGGACTGGGATATACTTTGGTTGGTTTTTGCTTTACCAGATCAAGTGACAAACATGCAGATATACAAAGGAAATTTTAAAAAAAGGTCTTTATTGATGTCATGCTCAATACATCCATAAAGCATCATTTATTTAATTCTAACAACTGTAAATCTGACTTATGGAAAAAATATATGTCTCACTATGTCACAGTATTTGTAAGAAAATAAACTTAACAATTTGGTAACTTGGCTTTAATACTATGCACTTATTTTCTCAAAAGATTGCAAGGAGTATAGAGTACATTAAGTGGGAAAAGGATGAACAACTAACTCTTTATCAGTTTAACCAAATCATTTAACTTACTTCCTTGACCCAGTTACCAACTAAAGTGAATATAAAAAGTAGAAATAGAAACATCACCAACATAACTCTAAAACACAAAATCAAGACCGTACAGTAGGTAAGAAGGCACTTCTGATTTCTGATTCAAGTAAGCATTTCCAGTTTTGGAAAAACCCCTCACACTAGAATCTAAACACACATTTATTACTGGAACATATAATTCTACCTTTTCAACATTAAATTTTAATGTTTTATAATAAAGCCTTGTCCTTAACTTTCTGATGGTTCAGAAGTTCTGAATCAACAAACAAACATTTTTATTTCTGCAAACAGAAGAATAGCAATATCACTGTTTCAGGTTGTTCTCTCAGTCAATTGTCATTTGCAGGGCAAACTATCTTTACAATGGCACTTTAATATGGTATCATCCAAGTAAAATTTGCATATCTTTTGCAAAGATTTTAATTTTGATTGTTCTATTGGTTACATTTCTACATTTCTATGTTCATGTAAATAATCTAAAAATATTGATTTTTTTATACATTCATCTCATGCTAGAATGATGATTAACTAAAATGGCTTCCAGATTGAGCACAGAGCAACCATTAGCCTTCACTAATAATGTTCATTAAAAGGAAATTAATGTATTAGATGAGAAACACCCTTTTAAATAGCTACAAAATGGACATACCCATAACATGATGGTCTTTGGAAATTTCCAAGGAGGTTATGGTGCCATGAGCTAGCAGTAAACGAGAAGGAGTCTCAAGATTTTTTGGTTTTATTCCTAATTTACAATCTGCTCTCTGGGAAAAAACTTTATGGGCCGGGTAGCTGACTCATAACATCTTCAGTAGGCATAAATCATGACAGCCACACTAAGGGAAACCCAGATACAGTAATTAGGAATAGCTGTCAGCTTCTTTAAAATATTGCATACTGTCCATCCATCAGATACCCCAGCTCATACGACGTAAAAACCTAGTGTAATTCCATTTCTGTCATTAAAAGTGTGCTACTCCCGTTTACAATCACATCTCCACCCAAAAGCAGACCCTGACCCTTCAGCAGGGGCTGCATCAGAAGGCACTTTCAGAAGTAGAGCTCCTTGGTGAGCATGGACACCACGCAGGGGATCTGCTTCTTCTCGCTGAAGCGCGGATCGTCCGACTGCGACTCGAAATTCGTGGCCACCACGTAATTGACCCGAGTGAGGATCTGCATGATCTCCAGCTGCTTGCCATGCTCATTCAGCACAGAGCACAGGGACTGCACAAACCAGGAGCCCCTTCCAGGATTTCTCCAGGAGTAATAACCTGACAGGGAAGGCAAGGAAGGAAATATTTTTGCTCTTTTGTGTGAAAGACTCTGGGCAAAGATTAACAATGTTAACACACAGAAAGCTGAACTTCTAACAGTTGTGTCATATGTCCTACTTCATTAAAGTTGAGACTAATGTATATTAACTCCCCAAACCTCACATTGCTTAAGTACCTTTCTACATTTTGGCATTTGGAAATCTGCAAGAAGTAAAATTACACAGGTTTCCTTTCTGAGAATAAGTTTTGTGCTGTCCTGCCTTCATCACACATTCAACATGCTACAAGAAGGGCAGGATTCCCAGAAAACAGCTCTGCCTGTGCCTTCTGTAATCTCCCTTCTCCTCTACAGCCAGTGTAGAAGAGGTAGATACCCAGTGTACACTGTGTTTTGTCCATTAGTGTACAGTGTATCATCAGTGGGGGTCCATCTCCAATCCAGCCAGTATGGATGCTGAGTTTTCAGGCTTCTACCTCCATCTTGACCCTCTTTTCCTTACCTGGCACCGTGGAATAAGCAAAGAGAAAATCTGCTTCTACTGGGATTTTGTATCTCGGGTTGGCATCTGTCTCCAGGCATCTGTCATTGGCAGGTCCAGAGTCAGTCTGAATACCTTCATCAAATTCAGAGCCTCTGCAGGCCTGAAAGCATATCAACAGAATGTTTCCAATAAACAGAAATAGTTATAACAATTAGTATTCATCAAAATCTTTTAATGGATTCAGTTCTAAGCAGTACTTTGCATGTATTAAAAGCAGAGATGCAGTTCTGGGGGATATCTCATTGTTCAGTGAGAGAGTTATTAGTTTACCCTTTTAAAAATATACATCCTGTAAGTAGAGGGAGGCAAAGGTGTTGAGCATCTCAGCTGTTTGTCAGCATGGGCCATGTCAGCTTTGTTTTATTCTAACCATGATTGATTTTACCAGTCTAGAGTAATACTCAGCACTCAGTTATCACATAATGCCATGTGCAGTGTGACCTCTGGACAATTTCTTGACAGTGGACTCCACAGGTGGAGATTTTACAGTGTGGGCAACCTGTTCTTGTGTTTGACCACCCATTACAGGTATATTGTGTTTTTACTATTTCCATTTATCTCTTTGATTCTTAATTTTCTCTTAATCACAGGTTTAGCTAAAGGGCACACTGGGACAACAGTACAAGAAGGTGATTTTCAGTTTTTGATCAGTAGCTTTGACTGACAGCTCTTGCAGAAGAACAAGTCTGACTGGCTTATACAACAGGGCTGGTCACCTTTATTAAGACAGTTTTAAAGTCTATAAAATAACCACTTCAAAAGTGTAATTAGAAAAACATCACTTTAGTAGTATGAAGAGTCTAAAACAGTTTTCACTTTGAGGATGAGGATTAACTGATGGAATAGCCTAGGGAAAACCACATCTGCTGCAACTCATAGGTAAATAATACTACATAGTATGTAAAAAAGAGAATTCAGACATAATTCAGAAACAGTTGGCTTTAAAAGTTTAACTAATATACAGTTAATTACATGCTAATTTAAAAATGCAATATAAATTTTTAGGCTACTGAGAAAAAAAATGTTTCTTTTAGCAGTAATTTGTAGAGGCAGCCTTAATTCAAAGAGACCTGGGCATTATTATTCCTACTGAAAATCATGTACTGTCCTTAGCTCTGTCTGCACAGAAGTGAGTTTATCTTTCTTCTTTGAAGTTCATATATTACCAAGAGAAACCATGTAGAAAATTACAGTGATAATATTCTTTACACTCGTGAATTTCGTATACAAATTATCTTTTAAAAGCAAACAATAATTTTACCCATAGAAAACTTCTCTCAACCCATAGAAAACTTCTCTCAACACATTTTTTCACAAAAACCTCCATCAACATTCAGGAAGTCAGGCTATAGGGTTTTTCTAGGGCAGACAACCAACACACCATATTTTCCCTTCTGCAGCAGTAGGATACTGGATTCACCTTAGGGCCATTACCTGAATGAAAAACAGTTTGGGTTTGCCTATGAGGCTTTTACACTTGTCTCCTCTGAACAGTGCAGTCAGACTCTTGATGGCCATGGGTCCATCTGTGCCATAGATGAGCCCTTCTTCCCCATGGCTCAGGAGGATACAGGCAAAACAGGCAGCATCACTGTGGTTCTCCTCAGCAGCTACAAGGCAAACACTTCTGAGTCAAAAGGGAGTTATGTTTTAAATGGGAATTGTATTTAGCAAACTCATTTTTCTGAGGCTAAATATACACTGGGGTACTACTCAGGCATAAGGAGTGGATCATCTTTTACAATGTGATGAGTAACTTGAGTACATGAATGCATCCTTCACTTGACTCTGAGTTTAGCCCACTGGAATCAGCAGGCTGAGCTCTTATCTAATATGACAAGGCTCTTCACCTAACACACAGCACAAGTGCTTCACAAGAACACTGTGCATTTCTGAATTGATGCTGGGGGATGAGGTGGGGAATTAAGCCCAGTCCTTTAAGGAAACAAATCCTTCCATACAGAAAATTTTATGTGAGGGGCCTAAGCAATCTGCTCTACTTTAACCTGCTGTGAGCAAGGAGTAGATTCAGTGACTTTCAAATGTCTGTTCCCCTCTGATTTGTTCTACGATTCTGAATTTTTACCTTGCTTCAGTAATTTTTCCATATCATCACGGCTTCGGTCATTGTATATATGGACCTCAAACCCTAAGTTTTTAAAACTCTTAGCAAGATCTCCAGCATCTTTGTCAGTGCCATTGCGTGTGCCCATTCCTGCTGGAAAACAAAGAACATGGTTGACTGCATATTACACAATTCAAAATGATTCATGTGTTTGAGGGCAAATGTTTATAATTGATAAACTTCAACAATATCTCAGTGACATGTTTTTAAAACAATCCTCTAGCAGCATTGAGAACAAACTGTGAGATTTAAAAAAAAATGCAACGTTCAGTGAAAAATGCTGGTGTGCCCTCAGCACCTTGCAACACAGGACCTCTAAGGACGATCCTTCTCCTTTTGGTTATGCAGTGCAACACAGGCACAAAGCACCCCATGGCAAACCTGTTGAAAAGCGTTCCTATTACACCCAGTAAAAGGAACCGATGCAGAATCTTTGGGGAAAACAAGTCACAAGTGTACAGGAAAAATCCTACCAGCCTGATTATCACACAAGTATTTGTCTACCTTGAAACCACATGTGGTCTGGAAAGTTAAATGCAGGAGTGTGAACAGAGCACACCTACAGCTATTAGCTTTTGTAGCTCACAGCTGCAGCTCAGGGACAGAGAATTTATAACATGGGTTGCAGATGCCAGAGTTCAAATTTTAACAACATAGTTTTGAACTCTGAACAAAGGTGCAGTTTGAAGTTGGTACAGCAAGGAGACATGGTCTTTGAGACATACACTGAAAAGATGTTGAAAAGAGCCATTCTAACATAAGTGTTAGAGAGCAGGAAAAGTTTTATGAACAACTATTTATCAAAAAAGATAAAAATATTCATTAAAATTCCATGTCCTGAGAATAGAATACTTATTGATTAAAGAAAGTATAAAAATTCTATGGTCTATAATGAGTATCCTCAAAGAAAGAGCATTACCTGTTTTGTCTTCAAAATTTTTGTTGTTTATAATAATGCATTTGCCAACTTTCTTGTAATCCATATTATACTGGAAAGTGGGTGTAACAATTCTGTATTGATTACTGAGAGAGGGCTTTGGCTGCTCTTCTTCTCCATTCTTCTTTTTTCTAGGTGACCAAAATGAAATTATTGTTAGTGATCAGTCACATGCATGGTCTATTTACCGTAATTCAAACCATTCCTGCAGCCCTGCCCAATGTTTCTCCTTCTCCAATATTTGTGTTCTTCATTTACATTTCGGATTGAGGCACAGAGATCTTGTGATTTCCATGAAGGGATTATTGTGTGCGAATGGATTCTGGCGAGGTGAAGTAACTCTGGAGTGAACTGCAGCCAAGAGCAGCACACACAGATCCTGACCCAGAGATAAAACAAATGGCCTACATGAAGTCAGGCTGGCAGTAACCTTTTGCAAACTGGTTTTGGACATATTTTACTTTTACTATAATTAATTAATATGAGAACAGACAGATTTCCCTTAACAGCTACTCCAGGAACATGAAGATATGCAGTTTACCCAACTGTGTGATGAGATTTGTTTACTGAACCACCATCATCCCTAATTCTGTGCAGATTAAGACTAAGCAGTAGGTAGTTTCTACTGATAAAGGTTATAGATGTGAACAAGTCATATGTTAATTTGGTGTGCCAAACTGCAGTCTGAACCTATGCAAAAACCCAAGCACATTTCAATGTAATCACTGATACCTGAAATTCATGTCAAATAAAACCTAAGAAAAAACAAATCAAACTATTATAATAATGATATGAATGGGTTATATTAATAAATCTTCTTTGGTTATATAACTGTGTCCTGATCTTTTTGCTGTGTACAGGAGTCTTAGATTGGATTAGAAAGAGCACAGAAGTTACTCACAGATTTAATCTAAATAAAGTATTAACACCAAATCAATGACAGCCAGCATACACACCTGATGTGCAAACATGAGGAACTCAGTACTTGCTTTTAGAGGCGGACTTTTTGGTCCAAGCAGGTTGGCTTCAGGTGTAATTAAGATTTCCTCAAGAGGAACTGAAGCCAGTAGGAGCCTATAAGGAGTCTGACTCAACCTCAGAATTATAAGCAAGCTTTGAAGCTGGACCACTTAAAAACAATGCTCAGGAAAGGGCAGAAGAAGTTACTGGCACCTCTCTTATTTGTTCCAGGATCCAGCTTCCAATAGTATTTAATGCTGATGTCTGAGAGGAAAACATGAAGTACTTTCACAGCACAAAGAACTGTATAATACAGTTTGGTTATAACAAAGTTATATTTTTCCTATAGTCACAATTAATTTAAGTATTTTCACTATTCTCATTCTGACATCTTTCTAAAGAATTATTAATTTATTTACTTCAATAGTAACCTGTAGACATGAGCTTGCTATGAACTGATTAAATGTTGTTTAGGTAATCTATTTTCTTACCTTCCTGATTTAACAATGGTTATCTTTTAGCTCTAAGTGTCCTCTTTTTTATTACTAAAGGACAAGACTAATTGGAATCTATAATAAGCCTTCTTTAAATGATTCATCATGTATAAATGCTACTGCAATTCAATTTCAAAACAGCTTCTTATCTTAGAGAGCTGCCATGCTCTATTACAAAGAGCCAAATTAAATAGCTGCACCTGGCAGGCTTTCTTTATACTCTTTTTACACGTGACCATCTTAATATCACGTCCTCTTTTAGACTTCCCTTAGAGACTAAAAAACTAGATATTGAACAGTATCTACTTGAGGATTATGTCTGGAAATACTGGAGTGTTTTTCTGACAAATTTCGAATATGGATATTCTCCTTGAATATGCTTTTTGAGGGCTCTGGAAGCAATAATTAAATAAACTTTGCCTCATGGAAAAGTCTTAACCAATTCTTAACTAATTCTTTAAAGAATTAGTCAGAGCTATATGATGCTGATATTACATTTGACTTTCAAAGAGATCTTGGATTTTTATTTTAACCTAAAATTCCCCTGATCCTCCATCTCCAAAAATTCTTTGTTAAAGAGAGAAAAACAAATTTCAGAACAACAAATAACTCAGGTCCATGAAGAGGAATTCCCTCAGCCCACAGATTCCAGGTTCTACAGGTTTATCTGGCTTCAGTGATCTCCTGAAAAAGTTCAAACATATGAACTTTGCCTATAACAGAACAATTGTTACAGACAATAGAATATTTTCAAGGGGATTATACACGCACTTCTGTTTATGTCCAACCCATGAACAGCTGTCAGCACTCAGGGATAGACCCATTTGAGCAGTATCATGTTTGCACTGTCTGCTCTTCTAAAGTGCTGGAAGTGACCTAAGTCCAGCCTAGAAATCAAGCAGCCACATTACCCCAAAAGAGCAGCAAGGGTTAAGTGGCACAGCAGTGCAGCCACGAAACTTCTCCGAAACCACTTCACTCCCAAGTTCAGTAGTTTGCACTCATTCATGCAGAAATACTCGTGAGTTTAAGGGATTTAATTCCTGCTGCTGGCATTCTCAAAAGCAGCCAGAAGCTCTGTGCCAGTCAATGGCCAATGCCCCAGACAAGCCTTGGCAGCACATTTCCCCATTCCTCTACAGAGGACTATGGTTTTATTCTAATGACTCCTCCTAGCTGAACAGGTTAATGAGATACTAAAAAACCACAGCATGGTTGCACCTATCACTTCTTTACTGGCAGGCAATAAAAAGTTCCAGAAATCTTTTGGCATCAGTCCAAACTGAATGAATAAGGAAGCAAAGGCTGTGAATTATATAAGACTGGACCTGCAGCCCAGACAGAAATCCTTTTTTGAGGATTCTGGTTCTTGTGCCAATGTAGCACAATACAAGAACTGCCTGACTGGACTACACTGACAGTATAATGTCCAACTTTTCAGATTCAACAAGCTAAATCAGACCTTGTAATGATAACTAATAAAGCTGTAAATAAGTAATAATCAGGCCTTAAAGGAGAACTCCTGTCAGTGACATGCTGGCTTATGACTGAAAGCCTAAATATTTTTTTCTGAACATTGAACTGAACACCTGGTAACATAAATGTTTACTGCTGCTCTTACTAAGCTTTTTAATTACTGTATTTTCCAAAAGCGTTTCCTCATATTAGTTATATGCTGTTATAAAATGCCTTAAACTATGTGCCCTCTAATTGATTTCTTTCTGCTTCTCTGACATCTAGTGTCTTTAATTTCCCTCTTTTGGGATTCAAACTTGCCTGGACTTAACAGAAAGTTGAATTTCATGACTGTTTCTTCATTCTTCAGGTCTTAATTACATCTGTGCTGTCATTCCTCACTCCATTAGTGGTCACTGATCCTTCCTTTACACAGAAATATTCTCTCCATTATTGCTGTCACGTATTTCATGTTCCCTCCCTTTGGTCAAAAGTTCATCGAAACTGAAACTCCAGTCTGGCACTCTCATACAGCTTCAGTTTTCACCCTCTAAATCCAGGCCTTAGGCTTGCCAACACGTGGGAATGTGATTTCACCAAGTCTAGACTCAGTCAGTATCAATCCTGTGAAAATCATTATCATCAACTTCTCCCTTTTCACATATAAAACTAAAATTATCTATTCTATTTATCATTTTGTTACTGAACTTTTAAACAGTAGTAGTGAAGTGTTTTATCAGCATGAGTGGTTAAAATTCTGTCAAAGCCAATGGAGACACCTCACTTGCACGAGTAGTGGAGTTGATCATCTGAAGGACTGCTACTTACCACAACAAACCTTCTTTTCTCTTATACTTGGAATAAATTATTGTTTAAATGTGGTTCGAGATTTAAGGATAAAAATAACACTGACAACATTTAACTATACCTTAAGATTATTTAGAAGAAATAAAGCAGTCTCTCTTAGCAGCTGTGATTTTCTCTCCTTTGACTTTCTACTGGCACCTTCCTCAATTCCTGCTGCTGCCATATATTAGTGGGACATACCAACTTAAAAATCCATGTGCAGGACAAAGGCTTCCCTGAACATTGTCTTTATTTATCTAATATTCATCTACTCATCTGCCTGGCTATTTTAAGTGACTGCTCATTTCCAGGGAGAGTTGTCCAAAATAAACTCTAAAAATGACAGTACAGAGGGATATCTAGATTTAAAAAAAACCCTACAGTCCCCTTCTCTCCCAGGAAAATTAGGGCCTTTTGTTGCTATACTGAAAAATGTAAGATAAAAAAAATTCTACAATTCTATACTATTTAATTTAAGGGAGCTGACATTCAGAGTTGGGTGGAAAAGGACACACTGATTCCATTCATTTCTATTTGAAGTTAACTCACAAAAGAATCTGTCTTACTCTTCTCTGTGTAGTTCAGTAAACTCCACCTTTCCTTGATAATGAATATCTCAAAATATTAAGACAGTTTTATCCTGGCTTCCTTCTTTAATACAATGTGCAATATAATTTTTGAATAACTGATAACATATTTCTGTTAAAAAGAAAATTTGCCCTTAAAAACATGGTGTCTTTGCAAAACACACCACTTCAGGATTCCTTCTGAGTCCACGTGCTTTTTTTGGCATTGGTGAATATTGGTTTTATTCTAGTTTCTGTCACATTCTCAGCCTTTCTGTTGAGTCCCAGTAAGATTACAGCAGTGGACAGTACAAATAGTCTCAGGTGTCAATGGATTCATTGACACCCACCAGAACTTTCACACAATTAAGTGTTGTGGGATGCAAGGCGTCTTAACTTGCAATGTTCTTTAATCTATTACAAACAACTGAGATGTTTCCCTTAGGACTTCTGACATTTGGGGACCTCTTTACAGGTTTCATTTGAATTAGTTTCCCATTAAGTTACAACATTGTGGAGTGCATGGGACAAAGCATTAGTTTTGAGACCCCTAAATAAACTTACATAGTACTTATTTATATTGCTGATTTATTTTTATGCAGTTTGTGTGGCTCTATGTGACTCTTTCTGTCTAAAGCCCCACTCCTTTCATTGTTGCATGCACAGTATAAATTATTTGTGACTACTGCTCATCACAAATGCTGTTTGCTCTCCTGGGGAAAAGTCCTGGTCTGTACTTATTTATTAAAAAAGATAGTGAAAGGATAGACAGCCAACAATGAAAATGCAAATAAGATTGTGCTTGAATTC